AGCTAACAACATTTGACTCTTTTCATCACAAAATTACTGGGTGGTAAACAGACAGACTCTAAGATCCTCCCCTAAATCTTCAGCTTCTGGCATCCATGACCATGTATAACTTTAACCCTTAGAGTATAAGCTGTAGATAGTGGCTTACTGGTAGCAAATAGAATTCAAGAAGTGGGTGATGGAATATTTACTTGGCGATGACCAGGGACAGGATATGAGGGAACTGGGATCAGTTGTCTCAAATTCAGTTGTCCAAGCCAGGCTGGGAAAGCAGAAATTCCCAGTGAAAACCAATGTCAAGTGACCTTGCATTCCTTTTCCATCTAAGGAGTTCCTCCTCTGGATCTCATCCGTCAGGGACCCTGCCGTCAGACTGGAGGAGGAGGAGAGAGAGACCACTAGCAGTGACTAAACAACAAGGACTGTTGTCTATTGATTTGAAATTATTTCAGATCCCCTCGTCCAGATCTTCCACCTTAAGTGGAGTCATTTTAATACACTTGTTTATGGCTAAGAGCAAAAAAAAAATTTTTTTCTTCGAAGTACTGTTGTTTTGATATAAGAATGAAGTAAACTGTGAAGGCTGTCATCGTGTCCTCTGCTGTTGACTGACAGGAACTTAGCAGCCCTGTTGCTGAGAGGCTTGCTGGGGACTTACTGATAAGAATATGTGCAGAAACAACTATGACAAAGGGACAACTGGAATATAAAAAACAAGAGATAGGGAGGAGTATCTGAGAGTTTCAGTCAGGGCAAACTCTCCTTTGTAGATCTAGCTCTCTGAAGGTATTGAGACGCATGCTCCTGCTTTGGCCAAGGCACCTCTTTGGTCGGCAGTGATATCCAACCATGCAGCAGTCTCAGGAAGGAAAGGGACAACTGTTACCGCTTCACTGAGGCCCTCGTTATTGGCAGAGACACGAGCCAAGCAATGTCCCTGGAGAGATAACCCTCGGAGCAGCCGCCTCTTCCTGCCAACGCAGGGGCCAACGTTCCCTAGCCACACGCTCTAGCAAAACCTTCTCTCCCGAGAAACCAAACTGCCATAAAAGATGTGCCTCATGGTATATTTGGACATTACCTCTGTCATATTTCCTTGCCTAGAACAACAGTGTAGTTAATCATTTGTTTGGAGTATGTTATTTCTGTATTAGCTTATTAAAAGACATTATCTTGTATGCTATTGGCTTTTGAAATTATTATGATTTTCACAGTGAACCTCTGTTAAATAAACTATTGGCAAAGATAATCTCAATCTCTGAGCACAATTTGCCGCCTCCAAAACAAGTCATAAAACAAACAAGGAATCTGATCTGTAGTGAAAACAGGAAGTGTAGCAACAAAGACTTCCAAACCTAGCACCTGGTGAGTCCCAGGGCCGGAAAGATTAGAAGGGTGAGTCTCCAATCTCCCCATGCTGCACCTGGGACCCAGCTCCCCTTACTTTAATTCAGAATAATGTCCCACCCAGGAGCCAACAGTGGTGACACTGCAATTGGATCTCTGCTCATATCAGAACAGATCACCACAGCCACACACTCCTAGGAAGTCCTATTCTCTCAACAAGTATTAATTCAGTGTGTGTAGCAGAAACCCAAATAATAGTGATCTAAACAGGATGGAAGAGTTTCCTATGATAGTGAGGCAGGCAGTTCCAGGACTGCTAGAGGGGTTCTGTACCACAAAAGTATCCAGGCATCCAGGGTTCCTACGACCTACCTTCGTTCTCTGCTTTTCCTGGGGTGGTGCCCTTATTGGGATGACCCAAGGCACCTGAAGGTAGTCATGGCCAAGTGGTTAAGGTGATGGACTTGAAATCCACTGGGCTTTCCCCACAAAGGTTCGAATTCTGCCAACTATGGTTTTATCCACACAAGGAAGGTACCGAAGACTCTCACCTTCATACCACAATCAACTGAAACTGCTTAGCAGTCAGTCAAATCACTCTTGGGCCAAACAACCTAACCTCCAGTTCCATTTGGTCTTGGTCATCTGGTGGCTCAGACAGTAAGAATCTGCCTGCAATGCGATAGACCCAAGTTTGATCCCTGGATTGGGAAGATCCCCTGGAGGAGGGCATGGCAACCCACTCCAATATTCTTGCCTGGAGAATCCCCATGGACAGAGGAACCTAGCGGACTACAGTTCATGATGTCGTAAAGAGTCGGACATGACTGAGCAACCACACACAAGGTACCTCAGACCATGTTCATGGTCCATAAGCAACCAGAGCAGGAGAGGAGAGGGGAAGCCCTTTAAAGGCAGAATGGAATACTTAGTATCTGGGTCATCGTATTGATCATAATTTAGTCACACAGACATGGTTAAATTCAAGAAAGGCTGGAGAATGGATAGTTTTTAATCTGGGTGACTTTGTTCCCCAATAAAACCATTATTATGGAATAAGGATGGTTTTTGTTATACTTGGCAAATTTTTAAAAATCAAGAATGTCATAATTTTTATCTTAAACTAAATCAGATTTGCCTGTAAAAAAATTGAATATTTTCAGAATATATTTTAAATTGAAAAACAAAGGTTCAGATAGAACGTGTAGTAAAATGACACCTGATAAAAAGGGAAATCTCCCTCTATAACACTATAGAAACCAGCAACAGTGGTTGGGTCCAGGAAGAAAATCTGGAAAAAACTGTAGATGGATAGGGGAGAAAATTTTACTTTTCATTGTATACACTTTTTATTATTTGAGATTTTTCAACCTTGTGCTTGTGATAGCTTACGGTGAACGATGTCAGATTCGTGATCGCCGAAGATTTAATTTCGGGACCAGAGACCAAGCTTGACCACTCAGGGCTCTTGTGTGGCAGAAGTTTGATTACAGTGAAAAGGGGCAGAGAAAGCTTCTGACACAAATGTCAGAAGCCAGACAGACAGTGCCCCCATCACTAGTGTTAGCAAGGGAATTATATACTTTTTTTTTTTTTGACTCAACAACAACTGTTGGCTTACTTTTCTTTTTCATTTATTTTTATTAGTTGGGGGCAAATTACTTTACAATATTTTGGTGGTTTTTGCCATACATTGACGTGAATCAGCCATGGATTTACATGTGTTCCCCATTCTGAATCCCCCTCCCACCTCCCTCCCCCAGTGTTCATCACAGCACTGTTTATAATAGCCAGGGCATGGAAGAAACCTAGATGCCCATCAGCAGACAAATGGATAAGAACGCTATGGTACATATACACAATGGAATATTACTCAGCCATTAAAAAGAATATATACTTTTAAAATTAGTTATTACAATAAATCAAAAGAATGTCTCAAGTTTGTAAAAATTTAACCAGACCCACTCCTACAACTTACATTTTAGGATAACAGGATTAGAACTTAACAATAGCAAGATCCTACCAGACCCACTCCCATAGTATACATTCTAAGATATCAGGATTAGTCAGGTTTTCAGGAAGGACAAACTGTCCTCAAGCAGGATACATCATTGTTATATAATCCCTAGTACAGAGTGACTTCCCTGATGGCTCAGACGGTAAGGCGTCTGCCTACAGTGCAGGAGACCGGGGTTCGATCCCTGGGTGGGGAAGATCTCCTGGAGAAGGAAATGGCAACCCACTCCAGTATTCTTGCCTGGAAAATCCTGTGGATGGAAGAACCCGGTAGGCTACAGGGGGTCCATGGGGTTGCAAAGAGTCGGACATGACTGAGCGACTTCACTTTCACAGAGTTTAAACTGAGTTGTTTGTTGTGTAATCAGGGCTACTCTCTAGTTGTGGTGCTTGGGCTTCTCATTGCAGTGGCTCCTCTTGTTGTGGAGCACAGGCTCCAGGGTGTATGGGCTCAGTAGTTGCAGCACACCAGCTTAGTTGCTCCGTGGCATGTGGGATCTTCTTGGACCGGAGATCAAACAGGCGGCCCCCATGTGGCAAGGCGGATTCTTAACTGCTGGACAACCAGGAAAGCCTGTATGTCTTCTTTGGAGAAATGTCTTCTGCCTATTTTTCGGTTGGGAATTTGTTTTATGATACTGAGTTGTATGAGTTGTTTGTATATTTTGTATACTAACTTCTTGTCAATCACATCCTTTGCAAATATTTTCTCCCATTCTGCAGGCTATTTTTTTCATTTCATTAATGGTTTCCTTTGTTATCCAAAAGCTTTTAAGTTTAACTAGGTCCCACACAATTGCACTCATCTCACACGCTAGTAAAGTAATGCGCAAAATTCTTCAAGCCAGGCTTCAGCAAAATTCTTCAAGCCAGGCTTCAGCAATATGTGAACTGAGAACTTCCAGATGTTCAAGCTGGTTTTAGAGAAGGCAGAGGAACCAGAGATCAAATTGCCAACATCCGCTGGATCATTGAAAAAGCAAGAGAGTTCCAGAAAAACATCTATTTCTGCTTTATTGACTATGCCAAAGCCTTTGACTGTGAGGATCACAATAAACTGTGG